TAGCTCTCAATGTTAATTATAATTCTAATCTATGTTTTCACGTACATTGTCTTCTTAGCCATAAGATTTTCATCAAATTGAGAAGCCACCCCAAAGTCAAGCTACTATAGTGTGACCTTCGAAAGTACTTGCGCTAGGTAAGCTTGTAATGGGTTTAGACCCCAAAAGCTCATTTGACACCAAGGTAATACGTATCCAATAAAGCTGTTACAATCATCAATATTGTTGTATTTTTATTTTGTGTGAATTCTATGTTACTTTTTCAAATTTATACATTTTTATATGCTTTAAACACATATTTTTCAATTTTTCATAAAAATTATTTTGACAATTTGCACAAATCACTGTAAAATATTTTCATAATTTTTTTTTATCATGAACCTTATAAATTTTTTTTCTTTAAAATAGTAACATTAAATTTTTTTAAAAATTGGTCAATATATACAAAAACTAACTGTAATAAACTATTTATATCAGTTTATAAATATTTTTTGCATTTTATCATTAAGAAAAATATAAATCATTATTTATTTTGTGAAAGAATAATTTTTATTCAATAATGAAAATTTTCATGATGATTTGACATATCATGAATTTTTTTTTGTTTTTTTCCAAAAAATAAATTATAAATCATAAAAATTAAAATAAATTTTAAGTTGATTTTGAACTTGAGTTTACTGATACATTGTTTTAAAATTTTTAGAATCTTAAAAAAAAATTTCTGCCAAAACTGATTAATTTAGCTGATTATATTGGAAGTTATAAAATCTTTATTGTAAGCTAAATTTGTTATAATCTTTAAACTTACTTGTCATTCAATTCACTATACATTTCACAACAAATTGATATTTCTATGTGGCTATATCAAACATTATTAAAGGTATGTAAAATTTCAACGAAGAATAGCAAATACATATCAAGGTACATAAAAAAATTTTATGGAGTGGATTTCAGATAATTCAAGGAAAAATCAGAGTTTGGTCTTGTGTTTAATGTTGAATTGTACATTTTAAATGACTGAAAGGCTTTATAAATGCAGACTTTGAATAAAATCCGATTAGAAAGTTGTGAAGTAAATTTTTATTATCTCACAAAAACGTTACATTTTGATTTTGTGTTGATATTAAATCATAATCATGAAAGAACTTTGTAGATCCAAACTATGAATACAAATTAAATGGAAAAGTATTTACATGTTCAAATTCTACATCCTCATCATCCATGTTTCAATATCTTTCAAAAAACATGTAATTAATATCGCACATTGACTAGAAGCTTTGATAAATTCAAATCTATCTTTAATAAATCATTATCATTTAACTTAACACATAAAGAAGATTCACACAATTTTTTAAATATTAGTTAAACATTTTGCGTAGATATTGGGTAGTTATTAAATATATTTACTGGATAAAAATGAAAATAATTACAATTCATCAAATCTATCTAAATCAAATACGGTAAATCTGATAAAGTAAGTTTTTGATTTTTAACGAATTTCATGTACAATCATAATGCAATATGCATTTTTGAAAATTTTGAAATATATGTACCTCAAACATTTTAATAAGATATATAATTAAAAATTAATGCATATAATCAAAAAAAAATTTTAATATACACAAATTCATCAATTTCAATATAGAGTATATCTATATTAATCTATTTAGACTATTCAAAAAGCTATATTACAGACTTTTTTATCAAATTTTTTTTTGGATCGTAAATTATTTTCAGTCTTGTATATGCAAGATCAATACAGTAAGAAATGCACATAACCAACAATGAAATGTACTATATTTCCATCCTCGATTAAACATAATATTCTTTTAAAATGTAACAAATCGTGATAAAGAATCCAAACATTTGCAAGCATTTGTAAAGTTTCTAGCAAGCAACAAAAATTTTAAGCATATTGCAAGAAAAAATCTGAGATTTCATGTTACCTTCAGAATTTATAATTTGAAGAAAAAAAATTGTTTTAAGCAACAAAATTCTTCAACTTTCAATTGAAAAATACCTCATGGTTGCTTCTACCATTTCACAAGAGTGAATAATTCTGTGACATAAAAGAAAGTTTGGAAACACACATTTGCTTTCTAACAAGCTTTAAAATGTTCATTCATGCTTAAAATTAAGCCCATGAGTGATTAGGCGTCTTTAACAATCTATGAGCATTTTTGTATATAATAGTTTACTAGGTCAAGCAGGTTTGTCTGACACTACACTATGTTTACAAAAGAGGTAAAAAGACGGGGCAAAATTTCAAACTTAGAACTGATTATAGGAGAATTCTTGCAAGTAGAGAATGATCTTGAGGAAAAATACAATATACAAAATTCCTTTATTAAACATCATGACAGGAAAAAATTCAACGTTTTCAAAAGCCTCTTTACTTTTTTCTAAAGGAAACATAATAAACTTTTCACCCTTGTTCTTTCCTTGATGTCAATCGACATATTCACTAAAGAGACATAAACAATAGTAACCCAAACTCAAACCAAGGTGTGATGCAAATTTGTTACAGATTCAAAAATATGAACATCTTTGTCGATCATAGTTTGGAATGTTTCATCAAGGAAAAGTGATGGTTGTCTCAAACGTTGTTTACTACTTCGTGTTTTTTCTCGTTTGTTACTGCAAATCCAAGAAAATTACTTGATGGAATTCGATATGCACAAAAACACAATATGCAACTTGGACCTCAACACATATCATTTTACCTCATGGTACCCCACCCACACCGTCATCCATGTTCTAGTACCGGTTAACGTTTAGGGCCCACAGGTGTTAGATTATGCATGCTTTCGGGTCAATGAGCCAAATTGGGAGCCATAATTGCAATGGGGCGCAAATAATTGAAGACCTTTGAGCGAGTGTTTCGAGCAAAAAACAATATGAGCGAGTTTTAGTTGCATAGAGATTCCCTTGCGACCTAAGGCAAAAACAATCTAAGACCTTTTCGGGGCAATCAGCCAAGACAAAACACAATGTTTGAATCTGGGTGAGATAGCCCCTTTCCTAGTGGTGACCTTTTTTCTTCTCTCCATTGAGAAGCAACTTTTTTTTGGCTTTGAACTCAGTTACGAGGCAATGTTATGAACGGAGAACAAGTAGGCCCTCCCTTGCCTAGAGAGCCATACCAGCAAGAAGAAGGAAGAGGAGGGTTGCTAAGGGACACTCCACCTTGGCCCAACCTATTTCTTGGGCAGGAACACACTTGGTCTCGAAGCTTTGACTGAATACTGAAAGACTAGTGTACTGCCCGTACCAAATAGCAGAGCACTTGGGAAAAGAAATACTCCAAGTGTTAAGAGAGAAAAAAAGAGTCTGTAACCTGGACGAACACTTGGGCATCAGCTAACAGCGAGCATCTTTGACTACTTCCAGTACCAACCAGGTAGCCGAGCACTTGGTGAAGAAGGAAAAATTTCCAAATGTGGAAGAAGAAAAGCCCACGACTACAAAGTGTTGACTGAACACTTCTGAGAGAGATGCCATTGGGTCCTTGCATACTTGGATCCTCAGCAAAGCTCCATGTCTTCTCGTCCCCAACTATAGTCGGAATACTATGGCAAATGACGAAACGATAGGGCGATCCCTCGATATAGCCGTCCACTATATAGTTACTATATAGTGGCTGCAGTGACATGAGGAAGTGTTCCATTGGATAAAATGACAAGTGTTGGCATCAGGAAGTGTTTTGTGTTAAGCAATGACACATCAAGTAATTTTTCCATGTAAATCCTAAATCAAATTCATTACACTCACATGGGAAACAATAATTAGAATCACAGTTGAATGTTCATGATATCTCAAGTTTTTGACAGGTATTCAAGTAGATAAATAATAAATATATGGAGATACCACATCAGTTACCGTTTCTAAAGAACGATTATACAATGTAGGCATTAGTGGTCAAGTCCCAATTTGAATGCTTTTAATCAAAATGATAGGAATCATTTTTCTTTTCAAATTTTGTACATCAAAGGAACGTTGCCAAACTGAGTAGGTACAAAGATCGGAGTTTTTCGGTCCACATTTTCATCATGTTATTACATTTTTTTTAAAGCATGATTCATTTTCAAATAGCTTCTCCAGCATCTCTATTGCTAAAAGCAGCTGATCCTATAACAGGTTGATATTGAGATTACTCACCTGTATACAAAGATGAGAAATTTTCCACGGACATTCCAATAAGCGATCAAAACCCAAGAAATACATTTACTGTCTTTCACAAGGCCACAGTCTAGTTCATGAAGACATGAACACAAAGTAGCTGCGACGATCTGGAAAGCGCATTCTTGTGGATGACAATTTCGCGCTTTGCGACAAAACGGGCAAAAGTACAGCGCATTTTCCAAGGCCACCATTGCATTCAAGGCCTCGATTGAAGGACGGGTAGGCTGGCGATCAAAGTGAAAAACTAGCTCGGTGAGTTTTAGACGCGAAATTTAGAAGTATGCATGCACGCCAGAGAGCACATGCGTGTTCGCTACCGTGCATGCGACCACGCATCGCTTCATTCACACCGTAAGCTACATAACTGCCGATGATCACCTTGGCATCGAAGTACGCCGCACATTCATGCGATGATACATACCAAAGCACGATGATGACCTCAGTATTCAAAACTCGCCCATGCTACATGCTTTCCATACGATGGCTGCGAGTCCAACGCATCGCATCTCAATTCCGCCCGATGACCTTAAAAAAAATGCTAATCATTTAGCTCCTGCAGCTAGATAAGCAGTGTCAGAATGATGTCCATGTGTCGCCAGTCCAATCTCACCGCAGTGTCATTGTAGCGAGTCCAAAAGTGAATTCTGCGATAATCGTCGGGAAAAGGTTTGTGCGCAGCTTTTCAGATCGCAGCCCATTGCATTGCATGGCATCTTCGAACCGCACTCAAAAATAAGAAGTTGTCAACAATAAGCTCGAAATTGATGACAGGAATTTCAGTATATTGAAATATCGCTACTTTAGACTTTTCTCAGTGAGAAAAGTCTAAAGTTAAGTTCAAACTCATTTTATTTGCATCGTAGCATTACACTGTTGTTTTCGAAACAGTGCTGGTCAGTGCTGTAATCAAAGTAGTGACTACATATCACCAGCAGCAGTGGAGCGCTTCCTAGCTCGAGCTTGCTAGCTAGAGAGGAACTTTTAACTCAGATCACCTTTGAGTCAAAATCAATTGACGGTCGGCTAATTCAGAACAACGACGTTATTCTCAGTACTAAAGTTCTCCTGCCTGGCTTCAAAAACACGTTCTATGCTTATGATCACCTGCTTCTATTTATCCTGCAGAAAATCTCTCACGAAAGCTACGTCTTACCCTCCGTGCGCGTTTCCTGCAAAGCCTACAAGGGCCTACCTAGTGCAGGAATGTATACAAGAGCTGACACGTACGTGAGCTTCAGAGTCTTCCTGGCGCTGCAAAAGAATCTGCCTGCTCACACAATGGATCGGCCGATTCATGGCTTTTGCCCTCCGAGCTGATGAAGTCTCGCCAAGCAGCAGCAGAGTAGTGTCAGTCTCTCTAACGAGTGGGCAAACGAATCCGGGAAAAGACAAGTTCCATCAAAGTTGAGCATGGTTCAAGCTTAGGAAGAGGTTGGAAAAAAAAATGAATCTGATCGAGGACGGACGACAGAGCTAGTTCAGGCAATGACGAGGGTCCTCGATTCACTCCAACAACCTCTTAGCATCTAGATTCAGTTACGTTGTAGCTAATCTATGTCATGTTCAACTCGCTGGTTCTTCAGGGCCTTACAGCCCAGTGAAGTTTGGGCATCAATGAATGGATGAATGAATGAATGAATGAATGAGTGAGTTTTATCTGGTCAGCCTAGCTAATCTACTAGTGCAAATCTGGCTCGTCTGAGATTGATTGTGGGAGCAGCCCCATGCCTCAGCACAACAGGCTTCGTTTGTCCAATGATGACAACGCCACCGTCTTGCAGCTGAGTCGATGAATCTGCGGCACCCACCGATCTTCAAAACCTGTCACCCGCGCTCGACTAATCATCTCGTCCCTGCCGACGGCTGCGGTCCTGGCCACGGTTGTTGTTGTCCTGGCGGCCTCCGTTGTCTTCACGGTCATCGTTGTCTTCACGGTCATCGTGATGGTGATCACCGTCGTTGTCATCACGTTCATCGTATGGTTGACTGTATTCACAAAGACCGAATTCGCACTTGCCCGGTTCGCCCCTTCTAGCACCGTAGCACTTGGTGCCACAGCTACCGCAATTCTTAGGATCGTCCCGGTAGTCGACGCACTTGCTCTTGCAGCAGGCCAAGCCCCAAAGGCAAGCGCCGCCGCAGCTCCCACAGTGCATCACATTGGAACTGGTATCCACACACTTCCCTGAGCAGCAAGTCGGTCCCGGCTGCCACCAATTGTTGCAAACGCTCTTGTCCTTCGTGCAGGTGTTCGACCTCGGTGGGGGAGGGGGAGAAGTCCTGGGGGGAGGAGGTGGTGACGACCTGGGAGGAGGGGGAGGAGAGCTTCGAGGAGCAGGCGGTGGTGGAGACTGAGAAGGAGGAGGAGGAGCGCTGCCGTAGCCTGGCGACGACCCACTGCGAGGTGGAGGAGGACTACTGAGTGGAGGCGGGGGAGGAGAGCTTCTGGGAGGTGGTGGGGACGGAGTAGGAGGAGGAGGAGGACTACTGCGAGGAGGCGGGGGAGGGGAAGTGCGAACTACGTAGGGGGGCGGGGGAGGAGAGCTGCTTGGAGGTGGTGGGGATGGAGTAGGAGGAGGAGGAGGACTACTGCGAGGAGGCGGGGGAGGAGAGCTGCTTGGGGGTGGTGGGGATGGAGTAGGAGGAGGAGGAGGACTACTGCGAGGAGGCGGGGGAGGGGAGGTGCGAACTACGTAGGGGGGCGGGGGAGGTGAGCTGCTTGGGGGTGGTGGGGATGGAGTAGGAGGAGGAGGAGGACTACTGCGAGGAGGCGGGGGAGGGGAGGTACGGACTACGTACGGGGGCGGTGGGGGAGATGGCATGCCATAGTACAGAAGAGACCTGCGGCTCCACTGCTCAGGCTCCGCGGCGACTCCCGCCACCAGAAGCGAAATGGTAGCTACTGCAATTAAGCTCAGAAGCCATGCTCTACCGCTCGAGCTCATCTCGACCTGCTGGCGAGACACCCCTTCCCTGAAGTCTGCTGCTGTTCAGATGTTGGCTGGACTGGACTGCACTCGTGATTGTTCCTGGGACAGGTTGCGCGCTCTTCAATCTAGCGGTAGTACTAGCAGCAGCAGCAGCAGTCCCCAATGCATAATAATATGCACGCTGTAACACTAACACACATCTCCCCTTATAAGCAGATCGACCGCTGGAGCCCTGAATGACTCGCTGAACGATAGACCGCTGTCAGAGAGGTGCAAGCTGTGTTGCTTCTGGTCTGGCTGGTGCCCTCTATATTGCCTTTGAACTTTGGACCTGGGCAGGCGAATTCCCTTCCGACCTCCAGAGCACGGCTAGCGTTGCCAGCCGCACGGTTCGGCGTCCCTACCCCACGAAAAACCCTGCGACTCAACCGTGTCTCATATGTTGCCTCGTCGTGGTGACCACTTGGATCCGCTGAGAGCTCCTCGTAAGGAACGTGCTTATGGATTCCATCTGCCTCCTCCAGTCCCGCCCTACCCTCCCTCGAGCATCCCACCTTCTCTATCACAAACCACAACTCAGCCGGGTCAAGCTAATTCCGCCATCCTCGGCCAAGACTCAAGTCGAGATTTAACGAATGGATGCCAATTACACATCGTACGATTTGCATGGAGATCTGCACTATCGCCTCATCCATGCAAGCGAGGTGACGTCACTGTGCGAGCATTAGGCCCAGGCAGACTCGTAGCGGGGGACATTCCATCCCCTCGCTCGCAGAGCATCTCGTGGCAGGTCCTACGGCACAAATGGTTTTGTAGTTCAGATGCGAGGGAAATGGCCCGAATGCTCCGGCTCGGCCCCGGCCACGAGCCCGGCCAAGCCCAGCCCAGCCCTGAGATAGCTCCGTGCAAAATGCAAGTACCATTAGTACATCCCACTGGTGTAAAACGCGGACCCAGAAGACCTCCGTTTCCTCTCCCTGCTCACGCCAGGTGTCATAACAAACATGTGCCTACATTTGATTGGATTGCTCTCGACTTGTCTGGGGGACACTGCCTTGTCTTTTAGCATTTTAGTTGGTTTCTTTGCGTGATCTACAATTTGCGGACCTGTGCTCTTCAGAGGATCTCCGGCTTTTAGCATACGCAGGGGCGAGCTGCATGCGTCACGATTGACAATGAACATTTTAAGGGCTCCACAATTTGCGAGTAGGATCGAAAGGATTGATTCGTGAAAGGTATACATCTCTCGTCCAAGATATTCAATTTTGCCTACATCCGAATGAGACAAACTTAGTGAAAGACACATGTACAGTCTAACACTCAGACCATACTGTTCTCAAATGTGGTCTGGAATTTGGCATGTACAGGCTAAGTTAGCTAACTCATGAAAACATCAAAAAAATTCCAGGCCAGTGCAATAGATATCTGTCTCTTCTCACTCTTGCTCAATCCATGATAATACTGCAACAGGAACGTTCCGTTTGTGAAAGCTGGCAAGGAATTTAGATCTCGACAAGAAACCCTTCGTTCATGTCTCGATGGAGGTCCCTGATCATGGTATGTGAACACTCAACAGTTTTGAGCAAGAGCTTCAGAATTTGTTGAAACCTATAAATACACTTTTAACCTAATTCTCCTATTCATAACATCTCAATTTCATCGCCGTGACAGTCCTCTAAGACTCGAGGATGCGGTTTGGAGATGAGATGATGAGCTACTTGCTTCTGATGATTGCTTCTCATTGACAACGTCTTCCTGATCAGTTCTTCCAGATCTCGCTCACTTTCTTTTCAGCAAGTGGTACGATCGGTGATCGATCTATCAAAACTGGATTCACTGGCTTCTGGCCAGACGACACAATCCCCCTTCATCCGTTCTTACCGACAAGTGGGTCTACTGAGGGGTCCCTGTTTTAAACCACGTCTGATCAGATCGAGTCTCAACGTCGTCCTGTTTTAGATGCATAGTGATTTAAATCTTCCCCCGACCCAACCCACTGACCACGACGAAGAGGGACTTACTGGCAGTTTGTTATGGTTTCCCGGCAATGTCTTCATACAATTAGTTAATATGACCATACTATGTCTTCGTACAATGACTATGTACGACATATATTTAGAAGCAAAAGATTGATAATTACCTGGTGCTGCATTAAATCTCCATGAGTTGCAGAGTGCACGAGAGCTTGTTCGGGACTTTTGATCTATTCAAGGATGCGGTAGCAGTAGCAAGTGGCCAGGTATTCGTGCGGAGGAAGTGTGAAGTGATGACGAACGTGAGTCGAGTACAAGGACAAGTAGGGTACAGCTTACGTTATTCTTACCGACAGGGAAGACTTTTATGTTTCCGGTCTATCATGTCTTGCTCAAACAAACATTCGATTTCCTATGTGGCATGCCCGCCTGTCATTCCACCACTAGCCCTTACTCTACAGAATTGTCGAGGCTTCTTGCATAAAGGACGCCTTGCGTGATGTCAAGCTGGCCCAGAGTCTTCATCTTGTAAGAATCAGAAGTTTTCGAAGAGTTTTATGGTAAACTTATGTCAATCCGTCAACGCGAAGATCACATCTCCACCTCCATAATTACATATTCAGACATTCCATCATGCAAGTAGAGGATGCTTGAGAAAGTCCAATGTCAGACTAAAGTGATTCTCGATCATATGCATGACCTCTGTTTGGACCACCAAGAGTACTGGTTCCTCGACAGGTATCTCGTCCACTCCACTCCGGCCTTCATGATCAGCAGCTCCCTAACATAGAAAATATACTGTTTCCAGTACACACGATCCGGACTACAACCGGGATGATGCTATTTACTATTTGCAGTTTCGGTGAGCCCTCTGGGTACATGGAAGAATAAGTGATGATACTCTCCCATGAAAAGGGTAAAAGGAGTGCGCATTTTAAGTAGATTTGGTAAGGTGACGTAGTCTTACGCTTGAAGATTCATCATCAATCATATGGATTTTTCCGAATGTGCCGAACTGAGAGATTGAAACAGTGAAACTCTCTCTCTCTTCGTTCATTCAACAGTATTCAGTTCACTAGCTAGCACCAGACAGAAAGATGCGACTTGCACAGATTCAGATAATATGTCCACTTTTCATCCCGGCTTTGAGAAAGTACTCCCATCCTTTTTGCTAATTTACTCGGTGCTACGGAATTGAGACTGTGATTTTCCTATTTCTGACGTGCTTATAGAGGATAGTTACTTTACACGAATCCAGTTGTCAACATCTCTTCGGTGGAGAAATAAAAAATATGCTTTCTGTTTGTCACATTATCGTGTATTTTCCTGACAGCGGACAGTGTCTTATATAATGGATGTAATATCTTTCAAACAGATGGTTCTCCCCAATTAATTGATTTCTTTCGCATAAATTACAGTTCGCAGGCTTGCCTCCTGTTGCTGGAGACAAATCTCGAGCTGCCGACCAAACGCTAGAACTCGTGATCCTCCTCCGAAAGTGAAGATTGAAAGAGAATCGATATTCGGTATTTCACAAGTAAGTACAATAATCTCTTCTCTTCCTCAGAAAATCACCTCGTATTCTGCACGTCTTTCAGATTTCATTAAAAAATGCTTTATAAAATGCAATTTTCTGGTCGGGTATTCTGACTTTTAGAAAAGCGGATACGAGAATGATATCACAAGAAATCTTGAGCCTTTCCTCTTTCTGAAGGAGCTGAAAAGTGACGAGACAAGTACCAAATGTACTTCGGATTCCTTCCTTATCTCTCTGTGAAATATCGTTAGGTACTGCTGCTTCAGCATTCTTTGAAAGAATAGATTCACCTATCGAGTTGAGATACTTGGAACAAATCTGTTGTTCAAAGATTGAAAATATGACAAAAGCTGCGGAGAATTGTCTTAAGTCTAACCTGAAAATGTATTGACTCTATCCAGTAATTGCATACATTAAAACCCTGTAACTAAGACTTATAACAATAACTACACTGCCTAAATGATACGAAACGTATTGCTCTCCTAAACGTATTCCAATTAATTTTGAAGGGGTCTTCCCATCTTTTATATATCCATGTGGTCCCACAGTTTAAATTGAAAGAGGGGATGGGGATTTTTTATAACATCGTATCCTCATCAAGCTGGCATCAAAACGTACATGATGCGTATACATGTATGTATTGAGGTTTTATCGAAGACATTACATGAAAAAGAAAAAGCTAGTCATTACAATGCTAGCTAAAAATGATGCAATTTTGGTTCTCAAGCCGAGTGACTGTGTCGATTGTATTCGTGTATACTTTTAGATAAGAGACTAAAAAACTTTGCAGCTTCTTCGAACTTCAAAACTTGGACTACGTTGTCCTGCTTGACTCCGTCTCCGACAAGTGTGAACATATTGTTGATTTTTCGAACAATTTTGTCTATGTTATTGTCCAGGAAGCCTGCAATTTGCAGATCTCTGACAGAAAGCGAAGCACAGAAAACGCATGCAATTTCCAGAGGCAAATCTCGCTCATTCGGAGACGTGAGTCCATGATGACTTTTTTCATGAACACATCTAGCTACAGAATGGGATTGCTTGAATCGAGCAAGATACCAGATTCCATCTGTCTTTACTGGACCCTTCATGTTGTATCTGGCGAGAAGTCAATCGACTGTACATAGCTCTCGATACACCACATACAGTCCACATGGCAAGTTGCCTTATAGCCGAGGCTCTAAAAGCACGTTTCCGAATAGAGTATTAAGCTGGAAATGGGCAAGTAAGAAATCGTCTCGGTTACAGATCGTTCTAGTAATTTGTCCGCATCAATTGTCGCCTTGTACTCAAGGTGAAGTAATGGGAAGGTAGAAAGTGCAAATACAGACGTCTTGTAGACACAGCTGTATTTTTTAATTAGTACAGCTAAGGCGTTTCTCACAGTCCGCTCTTTGTGTGTCAGTGCTCTCAAAAATTGAGGATCTCAATTTTATTCTTTCGTTAACTATTCGAATGGCAATTTTAAGGTGTTTCCATTTAGATGAGAATAATGCTAGCATCGTAACGTACAGGGTTAATCTCGAGGTTTTTACATTCAGAATTTTATTGATTTGATAGGGATTTCCCCTTCACCAGATTTCTTTGTTCGTTTCGTTTGTGTGCTCCTCTTAGTTCATTTCCAACTTGTGTCACTAACTGCTCCATATACGCATGTATGTTTCCTGATTAGTTACTTTTCTTCGCTTTAAGTCAAGAGCACTACAAGGAGTAATGTAATGAGCATTTAGGTGTTAGAAGTGGAAGGATAAGAACCTAAAAGATG